CAATTAACATGAATTGAACTGAGAAGCAATTCTCAACTGTCTTCCCACGTGTCCCTATTTATAGCTTTCAACTCTGCTTTCCCTGTCTCATGCCCTCTTCCTCACTCCTAATTAGTTAGAAACAATTATTGGGAAACTGAACTGTTTTACATGCTATAGATAGCTTGTTCTGTTTTTTTTTTCCACTTACAGGCCAACAACTCTGCCCACGTTACATAAAACTGTTCGAAGAAGAGTTACATTTAACTTTAAAGCGTCGCTAATGCTGTGAAGAGACAAAATAAAAAAATCGAGAAATGCATTTTCTAACACAGACAATAGTTAACAATCCTTGGGAACTTGGAGCAATGAATATCCTCACTGCAGAAAGCAAATGCTCACCAGAGGTTCCCTAGGACACAATATAGAGCACTACTGGATATACACCAGTAGGAACAAAATCTGGAAACTTTGACAAGAGTTAGACATCCCAAGAGTTAAAATATGGGCCAAAGAGGAGTAAAATTTCCCTTCCGGTGACATATGAGAAGGGGAATATCTGTACTGATTTTAAGAACTTGGATTAATGCATGCCTGAGCTTACCCACTTGGTATTATCCTTTCTGACTGCATGAGGCTGAGCTGAATAGATGATTAAGAAGAAGAAAGAGGAAATGGAACAGTGGCCAGAAATAAGACACCCTGTGGGTGAACAATTTCAACAGTAGTTGAGAAGAACGGAGAAGGTCCTATTCACAGATGCTAGACAAAGTTATACAGTTGGTCTCAAAGGCCAAAGGCTTAATAACATAAGAGCACTCAACACAGAAGAGCTCTGGGGCAACCCAGGCTTTGCACTGAGACAGTATAAACAAAATAGACAAGCCAAACAAAATACAGAGAAGACGGAAACCCAATGCCAAGAAAGTATCTGAGGTGATGGATGGTAGGCTTAATGTTAATTCCGTATTTCGTGTCTGTAGATTTAACATAAATCATGGAGGAGGGAAAAAGAGGATATGGTGGAATAAATATATTAAGAGCAACCAGCAAAGATTAAAAAAAAATAATAAAGAGTCTCAGTCACTGAAAAATGAAACTGACAAGAAAATAAGGGGGCAACTTTTGGACTTTACACATTATGTGCTGGATAGTATCAGCCTGTTTGAACTCTGCACCAAGGTGGCCATATCGCTTTTCAAAGATAACACACAAGTTCTAAATCGAAAAGTACACTTTAAAAAAGGACAAACAGAAGAAACACTAAACAAGAAAACCTCCTTAGGTATCAAATGACTCCCATCTTTTCTAAGAACATTCTGGGAAAGACTAAATATAATAAAAGACTTCAACAGATGCTCACGTTTAAACACAAACCCCTATCAAGATAAAGTTCAGAGAGTAACTGGTTAAAGCACTTGAAAACACAAACTAAATACATGGAAATCAGCAAATAAAGCAAGTCTTGTCTTCTGTAGAAATTATCTTCCTAGATTCCTAATCATCAAAACACTACTCTGCATTTTTTTGCCTTGTTTGAGTCAATCCTAATCTAAGATCAGGACTCATTTTGAATTAGCTAGGTTTAGTTTCCATCCTGATTGATCCCTAGATGTATAGAGAATATTTTACTTCCTAATGTTACAGAAGGTGACTTGTGATCTCAACATGCTCATGTCCTGCAGTAAATGTCTGCTTTATAAGCATCTCTTTTCTGAGTAGAATCTGCCCTGCCAACCCAGGAACATTTTAGTGACTCAAAGAAAGGGACGGAAAGCTCTAGCTATAAGACTGTTAAGCTGATTTAAAATACTCATCTGACATCTGCATTTTGACTCAAAAATAGCATCCGTTCACAAAGTCCAGTTCTGGATATGAGCTAAACCATACAAAAATAATGGCATATCTGGCTACCTAGCTTCTTAGCCTGTGCTTCTGGACCTCAGGTCATTAGGTCCAAGAAACCTCCCCTCATGTTTTGAGACTTAAACAAATCTAGGCCAATTGGTTTGAGAGAGAAAATATGTGAATACCTTTGATGGTTGAAGGAAATATTGAAAAGCCTGCTAGATAGATATAATTTTTTGGGTTTCTACTTTGGAATTCATTTGAATTGGATTTTGAAAATGATTTTTGAAACTCAAGCAACAATAAAAACTAAAACGGTGCTCTTACAAACTAATACTATTAAGTTTCATACAACTCTAGATCTTGCTTCTGCTGTTAAGAGCCTCTTACAAGCATCTATGACCTATGAAAGAATTTGGCCTGCATACTTAACTGCTGCTTTTTCCAAGAAGCTTTTTGATGGAATTGCGGACATTTAATACTGATTTTGCAGAGGGAGATGATTAAAGAGAAACCCTGAAACTTTAGTCTTATTTCTTTACATGTTCACGGAAATGGAAGAAGAGCAGAGTTTCTGGTCCAGTTATGACCAAATAATTTATTTCTATTCTATCATCTTGTATTTTGTTTTAGAAAAACATTGTGTAAGATTAATTCCAGAAAGACATCGGCCACTTTTTAGAAGCCAAAAATGCTCATAAGCAATACAACCCTTCCCCTACATTTCAATTATATCTGCCTACATGTACCATAAGACAGTACCTGACCAAAACTTGAACAAGGTGAAAATTCCTACAGAGCAAATGGGAGTGATCAAATTTTTTTTGAACACAAGGATATAACAGTTACTTTCCAATCATACAAAAGATTGAGGATTAAACACTCAAATTCTATGGATTCAAATGAGGTATCAAAGCAGATGTTAGGCCCTAAAAGAACTAATTTGGATGCTTAGCAGAAATGCACCCATTTTGTTTCTTAACCGTAGGGTAGACATACTAAGCTTCCTATAGCTGTTCAGGAGTGTTGTGCAAGAAGGCTACACAAAATCTCCATTAAGACAGATGTGTAACAGGTTTGGCATAAAAAGGTCTTCTTCCATTTGACCAGCTTCAAACTGTTGTATCTCTTAGATGAAGACAAACAGAAGTTATGAATCACACTCTATATTCAATTATAATTTTGGAAAAAACCCAAACAACTTTCAGATTACTTGTAGCCTTTGTTCAATTATAATGTAATCAAGCTGCTTTCAGATTTAGAATACAGTAAACAGTGATATAAAATACCAAAATTTTGAAAGATTGTAAATATAAACATGCCATGCTCAGGAAGCTGGAAGAATACAGTATTATCACCAAATTATAAAAAATTGCCTACTTCTTCTCTCCCAGCTATTGCAAATACACATATGCTTTTAATCATCCCATTGCCTTAACTGAATGTTGTTCGACTGTGCACCTTGTTTTTCAATGGAGTTATTGTCCTCAAAGCAGACAGGCAGGTGACAGGCAGTTGGTAGCCTGTACTCTAAAATTCCAGTCTCAAACTAAGGTCCTCATTTTAAAGCTGCAGATCCTTCTTATTAAAAAGCAAAACCAAAACCAACAAAACCCCAAAACGACCCCCCCAAAACCCCAACCGCAACAGCTTTGTTCCTTCCTTAAAGAAACATTACAATAGGTTGTCAAGTTGGATTGCATACCTATTACAGGCGGATCCAAATGGCGGAAGTTCTCAAAAGAGAACAGAAATATAGCCTGTGGTTGTACCTCCTTTTGGTTCTAGTGTTCCTCCAGGATGCCCGCAGCGAATGAAACCTATTCTATTCTCAGACCAGCTTAGTTTATCTTATTGTCAGACCAGACTTAGCTTAGTCCTATTTTTCTTCCTCTGGCTATCCCACTCTGTTCTAACTCCCATCTCCCTAAGTTTCTCTGAATTCTGTGAAGTTTAATTTGCTCAGAAGATGATCCATAATAAAGATGTGGGTCTTTTTTTGGAAATGAATATTCAATGTGTAAAATCTGTCAGACAAACATATCAAACACAGAGCAAAACCTACTTCTCGTTCCAGTCAGCCAGGAAAAAGAAGGATCTTTTAACCGGTATATTTTTGCAAATCTTGACTTGACATATTGTCTTCCCAGCGTAAGTAAGTGAACAGGAAAAAGAAAAAACGTTGTAGCTAAAAAGGGAAGAAAAAAAAAAAAAAACAGAAAAAAGAGATTAATTGTAACGTAACATGCCCAGCACAGTAAATTTGGGGCTAACCATTCAAAAACTTGTGAAGATCCATTCTTACATGCAAAAAGAGTTAAAATAATGACTTGCATATTAAAGGAGGGGTGGAGTAGGTTTATTATGGATTTTTTTTTTTTTTTTTAATGTTCAGAATTCAGGAAAAGTACTTAAGACACTTAAATTCTGCTCCATGTTTTTGTTATTAAGACCAATTTTTCTTTTCATTATTGCAGTCAAGAGAAGTTTGGACATAATTTTTGAATTGTTACAACTTGCTCATCATAAAACTTCAGTCAACAGTAACTCTATTTATAATTACTTTTCTCAATCAGTAAAAAATAGGTTAGTAACTAAGTGAATCTATGCATTCATTATAGCAGAAGCATTAAAGCCCTCTGTGTTGGCATTCTTCAGATACTTAATTGACTACCTTCATAGTGTAATTTGGATCTCAGGCTCTCTGTTAGTTTCATATTCTTCTTACTGAAGTCTTACAAAATTTTAGTCAAAATGGAGGAATAGCATATACTAATGAGAACTAATGTTCTGAACTGGTCTTGGAACTTCCAAATCTTCCTGCCACCCTCAGCTTTAGACCACAACCTGTACAAGAATGAGGAACATGGGAAACAGAATCAAATATGAATAAAAAAATTAAAGCATTTGCAGATTGAAAGTGCCCAGCTTTGCCTTATTTAAAAGTAGGCTTGTTAATCTCTTCCAGAACAACGTAATAATTGTTATAATTATTGTAGAAGATATGCTTTTTTTTTTTTTCCCCTTTCCTTTTTTCTTTTAAATTGAAAGAAAAGGATCTGGAATCTGTAGCATCTGTGAGGTACTGATGCAGAGAAAGGGGAAAAAAACCCCACCTTACAAGACTAGAAAATGCTTCTGCTCTTAAATATGCATCTTTCCTCTAGACTCATTACAAACAGTTGGAGGATAGTGCAGGAAATAATAGGTTTTAATACAATCAAATTATTAAGCACTGCTGTTTAAACAGAAGCATTGATAGACAATATACAGATATATCCCTGATTTATACACCACAAGGACCTCATCCTGGAAAGATTGATGCTTACACAATGCTTCAGTCTGATGAGAGGTTGTTCAGAGTGCATGCACTTCAACACATTTTAGGTCTGTGTAAAGCATTTTGCCTAGGTGGGTACTCCCCCTATGAGTTCAAAGGCATGACTTTATAGTCTTGTCCCAAAGAACACTTCATATCATGTAGATGTAGATAGGAATCTGATTTTGGGGGAGATGTAGAAACAAATGCAGCCCAACATGAAACTAGCAACATTATGCATCATATAAGGCATATCTGCTCGGGATTTAAATGAGATAAAACAACAGACTGATTGAAAAAAACAAGAAGGAATGAATATATGGTAAAGAAAAGTAATCAGTTTTGCAACATTATTCAAACTTGTAAGGTCTCTACCAATCTTTTTAACAAGGATAGTAAAACGGGAATCAGAAAATGAGAGCATAAACATAAAAATCAACAAAAAGCCAATCCACAAAAATAAACTTGAAGGGGATTTGACAGAACACTAACATAATTCTGTAAAACATAAGACAATTCACTCTCCCTTATCTCAAATGATTAAAAGGCATTTATCACATACTAGTATAGTATGTATAGAACAAAACCCCAATGTGAGACAGAAAAAATCTAACATTTATAATACATCTATTTTATATATATATGCAGGTATATATATTAAAATACATGTTATGAACACCAGCAAGATCACAAAATGTGACCTTTGGGAAAGGGAAAATGAGAGTTGTGGCATAGCCAGCATGAATTCATGCACTGCAGAAATACGACTGGTGAGTATGCGTGTGAATGAAGTTACTAAAAGCATTTGAGGGAAGTAGGTGTTGGGGTGGCAGTCCATGTTAAGAGCTGGCTATGGATATTGGAAAGACTGGAAAGGGAGATTATGGAGGAAGACAGATTCTCATTTTCACATGCTTTAACATAGCATTCAAGTCATCTGTGGCCTTTAGGCCATATGTGATTTCATATTTTTCTGGTAAAACATGAACTGCAATGGCAATGGTATAACCATCTGCAAAGTCAGGATAGTGATTATAGTTCTGTATTTTACCTTAACTAATGCAAATTCTCTCTGACTTTTATTAAACTGCTAATTACAACTAATGCTGTATAGTACTCTCTCTTGCTCACAGTCTAATGCAAATGATCCCACTGTTTTTAATCAGTCATTTGAAATGCAAGGTAAAGTGGGAGCAAGGGGAAAGTATTAATAAAAACTTAGAGAAAAGCATTTTGATTCATAAAAATAATGCTACCAGACTGTAGTCACCAGTCCTCCTTTGATTGCACTGGAGGAGGAGGAGAATACCAGTTTTGCTCAGGGTAGGAAAAGCAGCTACTTGAAGACACAATTTGACTAAATAATCAATTCAGAAGAGAACATTTTAATCAGCTTTTTATTGAAGATGCCTCCCTTTTTTCTTTCCTCTGCTATGCTGATATACTAGGTATACTTGGACATACAAACTATGCTGATTTTAATCACTATCTATACAGAGGATCGTCAATGCGCATGCTTAGCCAAGTAATATGGTTTGAATATATCAAGAGCAAAAATTGCTGATAAAGCCTCATTCGGATGGAGTTTAAGCAAGCACCCTGCTGTTTAACTGGGTAAGTTGGCCTTCAATCTGTCCATTTACTTGTACTGCAGAGGCCACACAAAGTCCCAGTCCAAACTGCCTTGGCATGCAGCCACCCTTTCCTCCCTCCCTCTGAGAAATTTGGTCACACAAGCATTTGTACGCATACCCGTCATGGCCAGTGCTCTGATCGTGCTTCTATTACCCTCCTTCCACACTGGTCAAGGGCAATGATCTAGGCTACCTCATCAGCTCTCCATCTGTCTATGGGGCCCGGAATTCTCCTAGTCAGTCAAGCTTAAGTAAGTGCACTTTATGCTAGAAAAAACAGTGGAGATACACCCACTTACTCAGTCTCTAACACTGACATAGGAGTATCACCAAAGCAACAGAGGTAAGCTAGCATCTGTGAAAAACATGTGATAAGAAGAGACAACACCCCGTCTTGTGAACACCTGCTATATCTCCTCCTACCTGTTCACCCAGGCTTCTGGGATGTTATGGGCAGCATAAACAGTGAAGCTGAGCTGGGAATCTAGGCTGACGTCTGCACATGAAGGGCTTTTAGGTATGCTGGCAAGCCGGAAATTTGCATCAAAGCTGCTGCTGTAAACATGGATGAGACAAGAGATGGCCATGGAGAGCTCAGTCACAGCAGCCTCCATTAACACTGAGAGGAGAGAGAGAAATAAATAAAGGTTAGCAATAGGTCATTTATGAAGAACCGTATTTATCTTAAACCATCAGTTATGGCTTTGAAACGCTTCCTAATAAAATTTAATTAAAATGACATAACCTACCAACTGAAGCCAATTAGCCATCTGTGCTTCTGAAACCAGCCTTAGCTCATTTCTGGTGTATCATTAACAGTCTTTCATTACTGTGCTTTCAAATTAAGGCATTTTCAAAGTAAGCATTTTAAACTACAGCAAGTTAGTATGTGCCTCAGATATGCTATTTTAGTCTGTTAATTTTTGTGCTGGAAGGATTTTTATGATGTAGGTATTTTGTAATTTCAGCAGTTAAGTAGCTTCTTAGTTCAAGGGAACTGGCAATGCAGCAGTAGAATGGAGAAAAGGCACTGGTTAAATTTTAAGACTATAAAGCTGTTCCAACTGTAGGTAAACAATTCATAAAATACATACAATAGCAGCCCCAGTCAGAGATAGTCAGCGTTCAGATGGTCATGGATTGGTGATAATATTACACAATGATGGACGCTGAAATACATATCTATACGGATATATATGAAATGCAGGCTGTGCCCTCTTCTATGTCACGCCTTTATTTATGTTATTTACTCTGGCTTCAGCTCTGCAGTGTTCTTTTTCTGCAATTACTGGCTTTTATCCATCTTCCCTCTCTCTGTGCTTTTGGAGCAGCTAGGGGATTGCCTGATTGCCAGTGTAAATTAAAATCCCCAGTCCTTGCAGCCTTCATCGAGTGAAGAGAGCTGGTACAAGCACTCATGTCTCAGGCAAGGGACAAGTTGAGAGAGAAAGCATCAGAGTACATCATATCATTCCAAGATCAGGATGATTTGTCTTTCAAGAGGAGTACACCAAATTCTCCTTCCTCCTCCCCCCCGCCCCGCTCCCAGCTTTTAACTCATGGGTTCCTACAGGATCAAGAACATGCTTTTCTCAATTGTTACAGTTCCTGACATACTCCCTAAACTTGTCTGGCCACTGTATTCAGCAGCTATCTATTAGCTGTCTAATAGTGTCTATTGAAAAAAAAAATAAATCCCAGGAATAGGAAGCCTGAGACTTCCTTATACTAGCTTTTTATACTTGGGATAGGTGCAGGAATCCTGCCCAACATCATACCCAGGTACCATGATTCACTGGACCTAGCTATCTCAGTTTCCTGGCAGAAATGTCTCCAAAATACATACCCTCAGTCTAGAATTTTATTCCCCTTCTTTGATACCTTTTGCCTTTAAACTATCAAATACTACTGAGTCACAAAATGCATTGCAAGTGAATTATTTCAGTCTTCATTTTACAACAGACAAATTTTAACTATGTAACAATATAGATATAGATAAAATTGAAATAGTTTGACATATAGTGGGGTTTGCTACTGGAAATACTGACAACAAATTCTTGCAGTCATGAAGGACTGGCTTAAATACTACACCTTGTCATATTGTAATCATCTTCCATGTATGAAACCTGAACCATTTTAGGGACTAATAGGCTAAGAAAACTCAGTTCTTTTACTCTCTGTTTGTGATACTTATCTGTCTAGCATTTGTTTTTAATTATCTTTTTATTTATCCTCTTTACTATTTTCTCCATTTATCATCCTTCACCATGACTGATCTGAATAAATCTTTTCCTCTAATGATTTTTTCCCCCCTCGAATACCATTTTATTGTCATACCCAGTTCTCTTGGATGTGTAATAACTTAGTTCCTTCCAAACTAAATGTTTAATTTGTACTGAATTTTTTTACATTCCAAGGAATTACCTATAGCCATATACATAAAGCCTTCTTAAGAGGTCCAGAAGATCACATCAAGTGGACTATTATTTGAACCAGTATTTTCTACTTTATCTGAAATGTATCACACTATTTACATTAAAGAAAAAACAGCTAATTAGGAGACTCCCTGACTCCAATCCGTTAAGAGTGGCAGACAGGTAAATGTGGTGTAATAGCAAATCCCTTATTTGTGCAAATTGGCCTACTGAAGTCAATGATCACTGAGTGGAATCTTCTCAGCATTTTCTCCAAAAGAGGGTGAAACCTAGCTCACAATC